ATGGCCATCAGCTAAGTTGTCTTGTACTCCTTTGAGCCCACCATCCAACTCTTCTTCATCTTCAACCCTTTTCTCAAGGTCTTCCAAGACTTCGTGTTGTTTCTTCTTAGCCATCACTCTAAATTAGACAGGTCCCACCGGGCGTGCCAAAATATATTAGAAAAAATCTAGTTTGGATCAAATCGATAGAGGAGATTTGATAGATCAACCAAAATTTCACAAATAACAACAGATCAAACAATTATAGTTTGAATGTCTTATACCTTGACAGTTTCAAGAACTTCTTTAGAGGTTGTAATGCGAAGAAACAAGTGAGAATACACTGGAATTTGATTGAAGAACAAGTAAACTTGCCACTTAATCACAAGAATTAAATTACAAGTCCAACGTACATAACAATCCACAGGAGAAAACTTGGTCACAGAGGCTGAATTACAAACAGAAATACTCCTACGTACAAAAACTATTGCTAACTAAGTTAAATTACTCCTAATTTCGCATGGGTTGTGAATTTGATTGAATGTCCTCTTTTCTTCGAATTTCCAGCCTTTATACTGTTGGCCTTGCTACTTCTTTGTTGCCACGTGTCCCATCATGGAGCAAGTTACCTCCACTCCTCGTATAACTGCCCATGACCTCCACAACCGTTGGTAACTGCTTCTCTGCTGCAGCATTCTCTTTCTTTTGCGAACAAGACACATATCTTGCATTACTTACCTGCCTAACTTCGTGGCTTGACACCTGGGCCACGTTTGGCCACATCCTACTGCATTACCAGATGAATTGACAGAAAAATTATATCTGCTACATCTGCTTCTTTATTTCACCTGCCACTTGCTCTACATTCTGGGATCCACCTCCTATTGTAAACTCGTGGTTTTCACTCCTAGCATCCACTGGATCAATTCTCTGTATTTGTTATGCTTATTTGATAGAGAAGATAAATTTTAGCGCCAACAATATTATTTTTTATTCCGAAAAACACCAATGATTTTGATTGACGGCATCAATTGGTGAGCACTTTAACACACATTCAATACTTTGGAAATAAAATTGACACAATTAAAATATTAACAATCAAAATAACATAAAACACATATTTTAATAACCTAATTAAATTATAATTAACCAATATATAAAAATACAACTGAATATTCTCTTGTCTGATATAGAGCATATTATCAAATATATATGCTTCTACCATGAAAGTACTATATGTATAGAAATCCTTTTCCAAAGTCCTTATCTAATTTATTTTGTCTATTCTGGTTCCTATATATAACAGTACTGGCATGCATGCAATTTGAGATCAACAAGAAGCCAGGCATGTAGGAGAATATGCATATCCCTGGATAAGGTTATATGCATAAAAATTCTGTCTGGGAATAATTTTAGATTCATCCATGCACTGCAGGTATGGGTAGCAATGAAAACATATGGTAGAATTGCTTGGATTTAGTCATTCTTTTGCTTGATATATATATAAGATCAAATTAAACATTTTATGTTCTCCAGCATTGAGTTTTAATTTTTCCAATTTTTCATGTCCCTTTTGAGCAACAAAAATAAGGTAGGCTTGAAGTTGACTGAAAAATGTGAAATTAGTTTGTGCTGTGAGGGCACTCTAACACTATCAAATTAGTACTTATACCTCTGTCAATTTCAAGCTGATTTTAGCTTAAATAGCCATCTTTTTGAGTAACTAGGGTTAGGTTTGTGTCTATTTTCCCATTTTTCATTTCCCTTATGAGCAACAAAAATAATATAAGCCTGCTTCTCAAATGGTGATGGAAATTTGGGAATCAAATAAATGCATTATGGACGAATATCGTCTGCAGCAAATACAAAATTGAAGCACATAGTTGGCATCCTCCTGTTACTTCCTCTTATAAACACTCTAGGGTGTGGAAGGATATCTCCTTCATTGGGATTCAGAATAGTAACATCTTCAACTTCTTCCTGGAAAACTGCAATATTAAGGTTGGAGATGGCAACAGAATCAAGTTTTGGCATTATAAGTGGTGTGGTGTTTCTTGTCTCAAGGAGGAGTTCCCCTCCCTATTCAATCTTTCTACAGAAAAGAATGGTTCTCTCCACCAAATTTTTGCTAGGAAAATAGGCTACTCTGATTGGCACTTCCTTTATAGAAGAGTATTGTATGCTTGGGAGCTGGCTGATGAAGTGAGATTAATAGCTTTGTTATCCTCTGCTCCTTCTCTGAACCCAGCTAGTGCTGATAGTTTGGCTTGGTCTTCCACTTCCCCAGGTTCATGCTCTTTCTCAGTGTCTTCTCCATATTCCTTCAGCTCTTCTCTTCATGGGCCCAATCTTAGTATTACCAAATTTATTTGGAGTAACATTTTACCTCCTAAAGTCCATTTCTTTGGGTGGCTGGCCTGGAAAAATAGAATCAAAACTGCTGTTTTCTTGCAAAACCTCGGCATCCTTGGTCCCTCTGCATCCACCTGCTGTTCTTTCTGCAATTCTGCCCCTGAATCTGCTCAACATATTTTACTTCATTGCCCATTCTCTTGGTCCATCTGGTCTCATGTGTTGTTTGAATAGAGGCTTCAATGGTGCATCCCAGATTCGGTGGTCAGGAAATTTTGGAGAGTTATTCCACTTGTAGTTCTATGGTCATTCTGGAAGCATAGAAATGAGTGTGTCTTCACCAATGCTAGTCCAAACCCAGATAAATTGTGGGATCTCATTAAGTTCAGATTAGCTTTCTGGCTTAAAAACTCTCTCGAGGACTTTCCTTTCTCAATGGTTGATGCTGTTCTTAATTGGAGGTAAATTATTTGTTGCTATTGAGTTTATATCTTTGCTACTTATGCTTGGGTGATGTATCTGTTAGTTCTGCTTGTTCTATTTGGGTGTTGTTTTTAGTGATGTTATGCTCTTTCCAGTTGTTTTCTATCTGCCATACTGATCTGTTGAAGCCATTCTGTTGCTTTCTATCTGTAGTCTGATCTGCTGCACTGATCTCTTAGACTGTTATGTTTCTGGTATATGGGTTGAATTTCTCTTCTGCAATTTAGGAAAGCTCTATGGGTTGTATTTCTCTTCTTCAGTTTGAATCTGGTCTGTTTTGCTTTGCTGTTGGTGGTTGTTCAGTCATGGTCATATTTGACTATTCAGTCTTTTGAAACTGGTCATATTTGTGCTCTGGTCAATTTTATGTTCTGCTTATGCCTCTGTTTGTCCTGTTTGCTTCATTGTGAGAAGCTAGTCCTATTTTGTGGCTGCCCAGCTCTGGTTTTGCTCTGCTCCTGTGATTTTGGATAACATCCGAAAGGGTGTGTAAATTGCTCTGCTCCTGCTATTTCTCTGCTATTTATCTGCTCTATCTGTTAGAGCTGGTGCTGCTATTCTAGTGGATATGCTGCTGTCAAATGGTTACTCTATGCTGGAAGGGTGTGATTTGATCTGGTCTGATTTTCTTTGTGATTGATGGGTGTAAATTGATCTGGTGTGTCATGCTCGGATGAGGTGGCTGTTGTTCTTTGTTTTTTTTTGTTGTTATTGTGTTGGTCTCTCTCCAACCAGGAGGTTGGAGCTTTATTTAGCTCCAAGCTCCTCTTTATTGATGTTGTCTATCATATGTATTCTATATGTGGTTCATCAATAAAGTTTTCTTTTGCTGATAAAAAAAAAACAAAAATAATATATAGGCTTAAAATTGATTGATGCATTAAGCACTAATTAGTTTGTGCTATATGCCCTAGCACTGTCAAATCAGTCAAATCAATACTTACATTGTACATCAATCAACTTCCACTGCTGGAAATTGGACTTTTAGTGGCGTTTAAAAAACGCCGCTATAACTATCAAAAACGCCACTAATTCATTTTGTGGCGTTTAGTACCAAACGTCGAAGATGCGACCGTCGCTATAACTTTGTGACGTTTTAAAAATGCCGTGAAAGTATTTAAAACGCCGCCAAATATCCTACAACATACCCGCTGGCGTCACCAACGATATTTAGCGACGTTTTCGAAATGTCATCTTATCTATTTTAAAAAATATGACCGTTAGTATTTAGGGTTTAGAAGGCGTTTGTAGAAACGCCGTCATATCCCCCCCCCCTTTTTTTTTTGAAATTGTGCTAATTTTATTTGATTGAATTAAAAAAATACCTGTAATAATATTGACATATAGAGTATTAACTCTCATTCAAATAACAAATTAAGCATTAATTAGGTTTCTTATTCAATTAATATCCAACTCCCATTCAAATACCTGTAATAAATATAAAATAACTAACATACAAAATAATAACTCCCATTGAAATAACAAATGAAACATTAATTCAATTTCGCATTCAATTAATATCCAACTCCCATTCAAATACATGTAATAAAACTAAGATATAAAATAATAACTCCCATTCAAATAACAAATGAAGCATTAATTTAGTTTCTCATTCAATTAATATCCAATCATCATTATCCACAAAATAACATATCCAAAATCCAAAAATCATATTTTAACATTAACCACAAACTAGCATATATCCAAAAATCATGTTTTAGCATAGAAGTTGTAGTCATCACTAGTCTACATGCCTGCATTAGAACATAAACTGCAATCAGATTCATCAAAATAAACACAAATTGAAGAATTTACACATAATACAAATGAACTTGATATAGATTGCAATTTGGCACAACAGTTATTAAAGGGCAAGTGAAGCCAATCTTAAAGCTTCCATTAATCTTGTCTTGGTTTCTCACGCTCTTTGTCTTCACATATTTCTTCTTATGAAATAAACTATAAGCTTTTTAAGCTGCTTGGGAATAATTCACACATTAATTAGCAGTCACATTTTATAAAACCAATTTATCAGAACTGGTGCTATAGTATCCCTGGAATATATGGAGTAAACTACTGAGCTGAGGGCAACATATAACATTTCCTATGAAAGCTGCCAGAGGTTGAGAACAATCAGATGCTGTTTTGTCCAAAAGCTTAGTGCCTCTAAAGGCATGCATACTCCATAAAATGAATATGTGCCTTGATAATTTCAACTACCAAAACAGAGTACAAAATTTGACAATTTAACAATATACTCCTAAGAAAGGGATGAAGAATTACAAGAACTAGTTTAAAGTTCACATAATTTTCTTGATCAGAATAGTAGTGCTTTCATGAACTTAAACCACAGGTAGAATCATACAATATGCAACTTTACAAAAGAAAATATGAGGAAAACCCTCGCTAAAAGATAATATTTAGTGATTCCAACCAAATGATTTTGCTTGTTAAGTTGTTATACGTACAGACAAATGGAAGGCCCCCAATGACGAGTTCAAGTATTTTAAGAACATACCATCAAGACGAACAGAAGTCTTCACATAACCCATAGCTCCACTCAACATGGAGATTCATGAAAGCAACCTCTACATTAGAGGATAAACCCAAAAAGAGCTCAAAACAACACCTGGAACAACTTCCAACATTAGATCCAAACTCAAAAAATTAAATAAATAAAAAAACCATAGGAAAAGCAATAAATAAAACAAAGGAGACTACTAACTCTTGAAGACAAATGAGTATAGCTATTCTAATCTATTATGATATCAAATCATGTGTTCTCATATTCTTCTATCACTACTACATTCACATACATACAGTAACACTACAAACTCATAAATTTTATTAGGAAATTATTCAAAAATATTAATATGTAATTCACATTCATTCTACACATAGGTCCCACAATTCACACTTTCAATATCCAAGCTAGACTATCATTCTTGAGACCCAAAATCTGAGTCCTAGACTTTTCTTTTCCATATAATATATAAAGAGATATACATACATAAGAACACGTGGAAATATAATCATGGGATGCATAATGTGCACATGATGACTACCCCTGTGATTCTCTCTCCCACAAAGTAACACGTGGCACGCATAGAGCTTTGGCATGCTTAGTAGCTTTGAATACATATCATGCACATGCATGCAACTGATGGGAGATATATACATAATACAGACCCAGTTAGTTATTAGGGGGTAAGGAATAAGCTTCCAAGTACTACTAAAAATCTTTCATTATTGGCAGAATCTTACATTAATGTCTCATATCCATCACATTTTACTATAAAATTAACTGAGAATCTACACCAACAAAGATTTCACATGGCAGCTTGTGCACACACTTAAGATTGCACATGCCTCACCAACTCACCTACTTTATGCCATTTGATTTGTGAGCAGCAAGAATTCTTCCATGGACCAGTATAATAGTTAGTCCTAATGGGGAGGCTCTGGACCGCTTTGCAATCTGCATATTAAAGCATCAAAGTGATCACAGAGCTTGTGCAATCTACACTCAGAAATATATATATTTGATTTGATATTGTTTATTTCTCTACATGTTAATCGCTTCTAAGGAGTACTCCATCAATGACAAAACCAGTACTTCACATCTCTCTTTTCTACATGTTATCTATTCTTTTATTTGTTGAATTGACTCACTATTAAACATTAAGCAAATGTCTTAATAGATTTAGAAAAGTGAGAAATTAAAAACTAGTGATGTTAGTACTTTTACCTTGTTAGTTCTTCTTCTTCTTCTTATTCTTCTTCTTCTTCTCTTTCTTTTAAAAGCGAACCTATATTTAATAAGAACAAGTATTGTAATTAATAAGATATGGTAATTGTCAAAAAAGTTTTGATTAAATGATTGCTCACCTCTTGGAATGAAAATGCATGAGATTGTTGTTGATGTGACATTGGCCGAATAGTGGGATGACTACTAAGTGAATCCACAACCTATCATTCAATAAGAAGCTTAAGTTTTGTATTAGCTCTAGGCAATTTAAAGTAATAACTAGTAAAAATAATTAAAATACCTGTTGCCTATGTAATGGGTTTGATGGTGCAACAACTGGATCAACGGGCACGCCTGCTGCTTGCAATTGAGATTCCAAAAACTGAATTCGTGACTGAAAAAGCCTGAATTTGTTTCTCCACTACTTCATTCATCTTCGACTCGAACTGCATTTGATACCGTTGAAGTTGCTCTTGAACTTGTTCCTGAACTTGAATTTGGAAGAGACGATTCTGCTCTTGTGACCGCCTATATCCACCTCCAAAAACATCAGTGGGTGACGGTCTCAATCCAAACGTCCGAACACAGCCAGGTCGCTCTGGGCCCATAACTTGTGTGAAGATTTGCTCCTGTAATGCTGCAGGGTCAGTAGAAGATCCCTCCATGTGCTCTGTTAACTCATTCATTTGAGTCTACAAGTTTGAATTCAATAATTAGCCTCCAATATATATATATAAATCATATTAAAAGTCCAAAGATAAAGTAGTATCACATACCATAACCTCATTAACTGAATCACTATTTGACGTCTCATCTTTCATGTATGCGGCCATCCACACCTGTGACTGACTAGCAGGAACTCCATTGTTCTTTTTTGTCTCCTATAAATGAAAGACAACCAAAATCTTAAGATAAATAAAAAAATTAAATAATTAAGCAATTAAATATGTGAACAAGTTAAGTAAATAAAATAAAGAACTAAGCAAATTAACTCATTATTTGTAAATGTCATGTCAACTAACCAAACTTCACCATATAATACTACAAATCAAGATAAAGTTACATGCAAGACAATTCTTTCACATGCTAGCTAGATGATTATTTATTTATTTATTTATTTATTTTGGGTCAAATAACCCTCCAAATGAAGTTAATTGTGTCCTACACTCTCTCAAATTATATTTTATACATAATTATATATATTTTTGGAAGGAATGGTTTAATCATGTAGCATAAACATCAAATTATTTTTTTACACATCTTATCCCTTCATTGAATCGATGGATATCCTAGGGCATCTATCAATTGCCAAATTAATCTATCATGACATTATAAAATTAGAAATTAATTAAAGGGTTAATTAGTAAAATGTCTATTCTTATATGGTCATGTGTTATCCAAGATTAATTTTTCTTTTTTATTTTTTATGATAAGGATATGTTTTGAAAAACTATCAAAATTGAAAAAGGCATTAGCAACAGTGAAGTAAACATATAGGTGATATTAAATAGATAAGTAATATACAATTAATAGAAAATTTGAATAGATAATTACACATATAGATAACATGTGTACAGATAAATGACATCAGATAAATGAAAAAAGCACAAATCAGCTTTAGCTAGTGTGGTTTGGGTATTAATCACCCCCATCTCTAAGAGCAACTCCAACACTGTTAGGCAAAATATCTTCTAAGAATGCATAGAAAAATACAATCTTTATTTTGTCTAACTAGTTTAGCTAATATGCACTTCAACCATACTCTCTATTTTAGCTAATCAATCAAACTCACTTAACACTAACTTCATTTTTGTTCAAAAACGGAAAGAAAGAAAAAAAATCAAACTGAGTTTTAAAAGAATACTATAATATAAATAAAAAAAATATAATCTTTTTTTGATATGTTGTTTGTACACCTAGTGTTGACATGACATTTACAAATATTTTTTAATATATAATTAAATTATTTTTTAAAATAATATTTTTACACAATCATATTTTTAAAAATAACAATGGGTTAAAACAAACAGAGATGTAATAAAAATTGAGAGAACAAGCAGAGACGGAAACCTCGGCAAAAAAAACTTTTTGCCTAGGAATGGAGGCTAGCTAGATGTCAAGAGCAAAAATGAAAATGGACAAAATACCTCCTGTGATGTAGAACGTATTAGAGGAAGAGAAATCAACTTCACTAGCAAAAATACCTTATGTAGCCCATTTGCCTTCTTTTTTGGAGATGCTCGAACCAATAAACCCAAAAACGGACATTGGACACTTACCTATTGATCATTTTTAATTGACCACCTAGTTACTTGTGCTAATCTAATCAACTATTTGCCAACAATTCATGTAAAATGAACAAAAAATGATAGCAATCCTACATGTGGACCGGTCATTCAACATGGTTCTGTGGAACATATCACCTATGCCATGCCATCTAACAGCAAACTTTCTCAAGATGGCATTACTGTAATTATTAAATTCACCACAAAATCCAGGGAGAATCAACCTGAGAGCCAAACATATACTTGGCTTCTATAACATGATTTGGGATCGATGAAATAAGGGGATGATGATGATGAACAACTTTATAGTTTATACATGCAAAATGTACAACAAATCAGCTTGTAAAATCAAAGCAACAACAAATTCAAGTGAATTGTGAGTAAAATTGAAATCAAAGGGTGCAGAGCAAGCTATAAATCAAAATTATGACATACACAAATCAAGCACAATATGAGTTCAGCTTGAGAGAGAGAGAGAGACATAAACAATGGAGCTCACTGATCTGAATCGCTGAGATGAAATTCGATTTTGATTTCGATTTCGAGAGAGAACTTTGAAATGGCTTTGATGAATCACCGATCTGTTTCGCTGAGACCGAGCTGAATTTCTGAATCACAGAGCTGAACTGACAAAGATAACTAGGGTTTAGACAGCACACAGAGAGAGAGAGAGAGAGAGAGAGGGGGAGAGAGAGAGTAGCTCACCGATTTGAATCGATTCACCGATCTGAATCGATTTTGAGAGAGAACTTCGAAATGGCTCTGATGAATCATCAATCTGAATCGATTTTGAGAGAGAACTTCGAAATGGCTCTGACTTCGATTTTGAAAGATCTTAGATAGCGCAGAGAGGGCGAGAGAGAGAGAGAGAGCGCTAAAGGGAGAGTGAGAGCGCAAGAGTGAGATTTTTGCTTATACTTGCTTATCAGATTCAAAATAAAGGTGAAATAGGAGAGAAGGAGGGTGCTGGGCAAAAACCATTCCAAGGCGTTTAAAAACATCTTTGATTCTTGAAACGGCGCCATTTTAATTACAGAAAAATAAGACGTTTATAAAACGTCGTTAAATATTAGAAACAATGGCGTTTTAAAAAATGCCATTAAAAAAACGCCACCTAATCCCATATTTCCGTGTAGTGTTCAAATTGATATTTAGCTTAAATAATCCGATTCATAGACTAATTAGAGTTATGTAGATATCAAACTAGCCTGACATTGACACAAAATTATTTTAGATCAAATTTGAGTATTAAAAACTATTGACAAACACACACTATGACTTGCATATATCCATCTAACAATCAATGAAACCCTTCCCATCTTTTGAAAACCTTAATTTCACTTCCTTCTGAAGCTGCCATTCCAATTCCAGTTTTCCCACCTTGACCAATGCCTCTGTAGTACAACCTCCATTCACTTGCATTACAGTCCATCTGAACCAAACATGGCGATCCCACTCCCTTACTATCCCACCCATAATCTTCCTCTGATGGCCTCAAAACAGCCTCATCTTGAATCCTCACCCAATTCTTCAACCCGTCTTCCGATGCTGCCAAACCAATGCTCCTTCCTCCATTTGCATCAACACCTTCATATGCCATCAAGTAAGTCCCATCTCTAGGGTTTCTCACAACATGTGCATTCATGGCCCCAAGTTCATCAAAACCACCACTTTGTCCTCCTTCTAGAACCTTCCCTAGCTTCACCCACCTAATCCCATCTCTTGACCTAGCAACTCCAATTGCATAGCACCTATTTTCAATGACAAAGGAGTGATAGTACATCCTCAAATCTCCATTGTCATGCATGACCACTTTTGGTGATGCAATGAACAATGAATCCCAATCTTTTTCAGAACCCACATCAAACAAGGCTCCACTATGATGCTCTCCTTCAATTCCAGCCCAGTGCCTCCCATCTTGACTGCAAGCTAAGCCTGGTAGAGACTTGAAAATCTTGCCACTTTCTTGATTTTCTTGTTTGTAAAACCTTACTGGGTTTTTTAGCTTGGTTCTTGAAGATTCTGAGAGATCTACCTCCACTTCATCAGAGCTAAATCCAGTGTAGTAAAGCCAGTAAACAGCACTGTACATAGGGCTAGACATTATCACCAACTCAGATGGCCTAACACTGTCTTTGTCAAAAGCCCACCAATCCTGTCTAGAACCCATTACCAAACCCACATCACCACTTGAGCGAACCAGTCCTTCTCCTCTTGACCAATGAATTCCGTTGCTTGACACTGCTAATCCAATATAATCTGATGATGAAGAAGTACTGATCATTTCATCATCAGATCTTCCATGGTACCACATGTACCACCTCTCTTCGTCATCACCAATGAATCTTTTCACCACCGGTGATCCAATCTCTGCATTGTCCCACGAGTTTTTGGGACCCAAATCAAGAACCAAACCTTCTGAAATTTTAGAAGAAAGTGCTTCATTTGGAAGAGTAGTACTTGCTTGTCTTTGAGCTGTTGGTTTTGAATTCAGCTCAATAGAAGAATTATTCTTGCTTGTCGCATTATCACTGTCGATGCCTGGTTTTGTGGAGCATTTGATGGGGAAGAGAATGCCAATTCTGGTGTTTGGTTTTGGGAATCTTTGTTGGATCAAAAAACTACTAGAGAAAGATTTTCTGCTGGAGTAGAGAGAAAGAACATTGTTGATTCTTGTAGTTGCTGCATCCATAGGAATGGAGAGGAGAAAGAGAGAAGAAATTTGGTGAACTATGAAGTTGTATAGAATCAAAGTTTAATGCAATGATGTTCAATTTATAGGAATTTTTTTATACGAAACTTTGTAGGGGTATGTGTGTTTGTAAGTTGAAACTCTTAATGTAGGGGTCGTTTGAGAAGAGGCTAATTTAGTAATTTTTTAATTATTTGACTAAAATATGAGCTAAAAAAAACTAATATGTTTAGGATAACTTTTTGACTCTTTACAAAAAGATATACAAAATGTAGAGAAAAAATAGAATTTTTGACTTTTTGATATATATTATTGACCTTTTAACTTTTTTTTAATAACTTTTTAACTAAACCGACTACTAGCCCCAAACGAGGCCGTAGTTTTCAAATAAAAGCCTTGGCTTGTATTGGTTTGATTCTGAAACCAAGTATTTAGCTACCGCACCTGTAAGTCTCCAAACTATAGAGGGACACATGTTTAAATGGAACATAGGGTTGGACTTACAAGTCTATGTGAACAGTGTCATTTTTTCTATTGTTTTGACAACTATTTTGTCAATTTTAAAAATAATAATTAGAAAAACCAAAAAACTTTTATGTCTTCCGCTTTGTTCGAGATGGCTTAGGAATGGAGAGGAGAAATTTGTTTGAATTATGAATTTGAGGGAAATTTTAAAACCAAAAAAAATGAAAAAAAAATAATTTATATTTTACTCTCATTTTTTTTTTTACTATTTCAAATCTCTACTCAAATTAATGGGATAAAGGCTTGCTTTGGGAGAGTGGTTAGAAGCTGTGTTTGGACGTTTGTGATTGTGGTTATAAGCAGCTTTTTTGGCCATAAATTGATTTGGGATGTGTGGTTATAAGTCAAAAGGGAAATTACGAAACTTACCTCCATATGTGGAAAATAAAGGCTGGTTTGGGGTGTCTAAAAAAGTATATTTTTTATCTTTTTGGATTAAAAAAGTTGAGATGTGTAAAAACCACACCCAATCATTTCTTTTTCCTCCACTGCCGCACACAGCACTGCCGCACACATCAATTCGGTGAATAGTAATTTTGAAGAAAATTGATTTTTTAATTTTTTTTTTTTTTTGGTGAATAGTGATATTTTTTTGGATTTTGGAGTAACTTTTTGACTTTTTGACTTATATAGGATAAACCAAACCAGCCCTAAGTTATATGGTCAAAATGTGTATTTTCTAAATTGGATAGGGGTATTTTGATTAATTAACATTAAGGTATGATGACATGACAACATAAACAAATATTAAGTAAAAAAATCAGAAAGTAATTTTTTACCAACTTTCCAAATGATTTTATGAAAAAGCCAAAAAGCTTAGTTAAAAATCAAAAAGCAACTTTTTACTATCTTTTTAAAACACTTTAAAATAAACTTTTCTTTCTACATATAATTTTGAGTGCTCCTATTAGCATCTCATTAATTATTTTTGACCTCCCATTTTTTAGCTTTTTTTTATTACAATAATAACCTCAAATAAAATTACTAAAAAGGATATTAATAATTTTGAGACACCCCATCTCACAATTAAGTCTACACACCCACTACATCATAAGTTAGGGTTTGTAAAAACACTCACCTCCTTTACCACCTATCTATCTTTTCTAAATTCCACCTTTAAAACATACTCACTCTCAAAATCTCAAAAATCCTTTGGCGGCAATATTTTAGCGATAACAGTGGCAACTATTTAATTACCTACACTTCTCCAGCAATCACAATGAGTGGAAGTTTTTTCGGCAAGCACAACTCCATGAGATGAGAGAAGTATAACAATAACAACTCAGAGGAAATTCATAATTTTGATGGTGTTCTTAACTTAAAAGAGTTGGCTTTGTAACGGTAAACTTCTTAAAAAAATAACAAAAATAATAAAAACTATTCATCATTTCAGGACTGAACTCCCGAACATATGACTGAATTTTGAAAACACAAGCCTGAATATTGTTTATTTGTTCAGGAATAAGTAATCGAACATTTCATATTTGTTTACGAACAGATAACCGAATATTATTAATAAGCTTTTTTCAAACTTTAAAATCGCAAAATCCAAGTAAGATAAGGAATAAGAATTGAAACTATCAAGAGAATTCAAAAAAACTCACCTAAGAGATCACAAATCGAAACTCGTGGAGATCGCAAAACCCACAAAAGGGGAATTTTGAATCAACAACAAAAAATCTTACATTTATTTTTTCAGGTCATGAACAAATATATGGAGATGGAGTAATAATCACCTTCATGGGTATTGTTAGGGTTTTTGGGAGAGAGGCTTTTTTAGTTGTGCATTCAATTGAATGGGTGTAATATTTTTACATGGATAATTTTGATATTATTTGGGAGAAAAAAGAAATTTTAAGAATTTTAAAATTTATAAATGGAAGTTCAAAAAAATTAAAAATCTAAAATAATTGATAAAATACTAATAGCAGCACTTATAATTTTTTCCTTTTGTTTGCAATTTCGAGAGTGAGCTTTTGCAAATCATTTTCCTTATTCCATATATAGCAAATAAAACTAAAAACTGCCCACAATTTACAATTTAAAGTCAGGATTCATTAATGATAAGGATTCGCAACAAGTAATTAATTTAAATGAATAATGCTTGGGACCCCCTTTTGGGGGTCACCCCCTCACCCCCCTTGTCACGTGGCGGGTGGTGATTGGAGGAGCAGGAAAAAAAAGAAAAATAAAAATAAAAAGAAAAGGTAACCAATGAGAGAGAGAGGGGGTCAAAGGGGGTGGGGGAAAAGGGAGATGAATCATTGTTGAATTTAAATATACACCTTAAATTTATAATTTTGAATTATTTTCTGGCATTCTTTTTTGAGTAAATAGCTTCTGAAAGATTGGGCACCCCCATCAAGTGATATGAGGGCACTTTTTTACCTGTCAAAAATTCTTACTCAATTGACTCTGACTCGTCTCGATAGTCAACTCTAAACTTTGATCACGAACTTGATACTTCATAAAACGAAATGAGAAGTTACTCAAAAACTCATGACCAGTCATGACCATCACTGATGAAGTCATTGAAGAAAATGGTATCATATGAATTTAATACCCTATCAAATCGTAAATAATAATATTCTGTGATTATCATCATGCATTGTAATTCACTATAATAAATTAAGATTTTAAAAATGCTTAAAGAAAAAAAAGATTACTTTTTAGGATCACAATATTTTAGTTACTAAGAATATTGTTGTATTTTTAACAACGAAATTAAATATTTTAGACCAAAATTTTACTCTAAAAAAGTAAACCTTTTTGGTATAAAATTTATTTGCCCTTTAAAGTATAGTATGATAGAAAACTTTGCGGAACATAAACTAAAAATCATTATAGATTCAATTCTATACATAAAAATTATATGAATTTCTACTATACAAAATAAGTGAATTCATACATTGATCCATGATAGTATGAAATCCTCTTGTAAGAAAGAAAAACCTTGAATGGAAAACCTTGATCTTTAAGTTCTTTACTTGTCTAAAATCTTTAAACCATTTCTCTCTCTCTAGGGGATGGGAGCCTTCTTGTGGTGACAACTTGAGTTTTTGTGATGAAGGGTATGGTTTGGGACCTTATACTATTTATACTAGTATTTTTCCCATAAAAAAATCCATCCATTCAATAAAGTTCATTAAATAGATTAATGTATCTTATACATTCATGATACATAATGCATCTTCTATATTAATGAATTCATTAGATAGATTAATGTATCTTATATATTCATAATAGATACATAATGCATCTCTAAGATTCATTCATAATGAATCTATCACATTCAATGCATTGACATTATCTCCATTAGTCTTCTATACATTATGTATATATAGGTGCATTCATCAATGATTAGTCACCATCTAATTGATGTACATATATGTTACTTAATGAGATGAATCTAGTATAAGCCACATTAAGCCATATTTAGGAAAAATTCTTACAATCTCCCACTTGGCTTGCATAATTATATTACGTCACTAGATTATCATAATATGGCCAATGTTCTCCCACTAAAATATTGCACCACCACCATTAAATTATGTTCAATGAAATTATTAGCACCAAATCATTGTAGTCAGTGATTTACACATTGATCAAGACTGTACAATGGTTATAGTGTTAATATTTTCCATTAACATGAATAAGTGAATCTTAAATCACAGAGATGACATTAGCAACATAATGATGATTAATGCTAAGTGATTAATGCTAATTCATATATAACGGTCCCGTTGTTTATATCTTCTTCTAAATTGTGCACAAGTATGAAGAATGAAAACAACAAACATAATCATTACTAACAGAAGATGATTGTAACATAATATTTATCACGAACATAATACACTCATTTCAAGTCTAAACATGATAAACTTTCTACTAAGCCCATGCGCGCAACATGTTCTTAAAAGAGCTTAGGTGTGAGACCTTTAGTTAAAGGATCTGCTAACATGAGTGCAGTACCAATATGAGAGATAAAAATAGTCTGATTCAAAACCCTTTCTTTAACAACTAGATACTGAAGTTTTGTTATTATTGGAGAACCGCACAGCAGCATCATTATCACAGTAAATCTGTAAGGGCTTCGAAATTAAATCGACAAGTTGTAATCCAGATATGAAATTCTTTAGCCATACTGCATGACATGTAGCTTCATAACATGCTATGAACTCTGCCTCCATAGTGAAAGAGGCTGTCAGAGACTGTTTATGACTCTTCCATGAAATGGGTCCATTAACAAGCATAAAAATGTACCCAGAAGTGGACTTTCGAGTGTCTTTACATCCAACATAATCAGCATCTGAATAACCAACTACTTCAAGGTTGTCTGTTCTTTGATAAGTGAGCATGTAATCCTTAGTGCCTTATAAATATCGCAACATTTTCTTAACTGTTTTCCAATGATCAAGTCCGAGATTGCTTTGGTATCGACCAAGCATACCAACTACAAATGTTATGTCAAGACGTGTACAAACTTGAGCATACATAATGTTCCCAACTACAGAGGCATAAGGAATTTCTTTCATTTGTTCTCTTTCTAAATTATTTTTGGGATACTGAAATTCAC